AATTCACATGTAAATTTGGGAAAAGTAAATACTGAAAAGTAATCTGAAGCAATTTCACTAAATTAAAACAACCGAACAAAGTTGAAAGTCATGTAGCTCACATGGATAATTACAACAGAATGTGTCTGTTATGTAAAACCATGCTGGAGACTGCAAATTTGCATTTATTATAAATAACTAATATTTACTATTACATCGATGCTGTAGTTTTACAGTTTAAATCCAAAACTTTCAAAACTAAACAGATTAATTAATACATTATTTATTTATTTTGCTGAACTACTTACATTTGTTCCCCTTTAATCAACTTGAAATATTTGCAGAATATGTATATCCCACGTAAAAGTATAATTTCAGTGTATTTATTTTTGTTATTTCTGTCTGATATGGACATCAGTTAAAATAGCCTTCATAACGTGTTGCTCAGATTGTGTTTTTTTTTACCTTCATGTAAGAAAAACAAAGCTGTGACACCACGAGTGCATTGGGCAGCCGGGTTAGCACAGACAAGATATTATTATATTATTAAATTCCATTTTTAAATTTGACAAATATCTTTACTCTTGCCTGTCTAAAATAATGAAATTAAAAAACTGAAAACTGAAATTTTTCATTTAGGCTAATTCAATTTAGACAAAGAAAACTTATTGATTTTTAAATTAAAACATTTAAATAGGAACACTTTATTATGTATGTACATATAGTACATTTCAATTCTAAAAATGTAAAAAAAAATTGCTTTAATTTTCTTTTTGAGTTTCCTTCTTTCTTTTCGCATGCATTTCAGTAGTGGGAGACGAAAAACCTCACTGCACTCACACCTTTAATTCAAACTGTACAATGTTTGATGAAAAGAGACTTTATCTACAATCTGTTCCCTCACTGGACAGCTGACACAAAGACCAAACTAACTTAACCTCATTTTCTAGGAATCCTCAGATACACCATAAGGAGCCCAGATACAGATCTAAAAAACATCGGTCCAACCTGTCGTCATGACTTCTGTTTCCATTTGGGAGATATCGCGTCATAGCCCAGGGGAAATGGGGGGTGGTTGGAGGTTATGAAGACAGATGGAAGAGTTCCTATTTGTTGAGCAGCCACCTTGTTTTGGTGGGACCTGTGTCAGCGATTGGCTGTGCAGCTGTGGTGAAGGCTATGATTGAAAATAAAGAGAGAAAAATAGACTCGCTGACTGATGACCTCGCAGCGGGACTGAACATACAGTACACCGAAGAGTGTGTGAGACTGTTTTGGGGCCTCTTTCCCTTTTCTTATAAGGTCCAAACATCCGTGCAACCAGCTGGCAGCTTACCATGCTAATTATGCTTCCAAACAAGCTGCTCAGATGTCTTTACACAGTAACCCAACATGCAGCATGTTTTCTGTACCCTGTCTTTAATCATTTACCAGAAAAAAAACATAGACTTAGTTTTATACTTATTCAAATACAAACTCTTTTTTAACCACTTAGAGTGACCTTTGTAAGAAATCAGTCAGATTTAAGTGCACATTCACAATTCTGTACTTGTGAAGACCTTAAATATCTCATTTTGACGGATCTATATTCATCACACATATTCTTCAACACCTTAAACTCAGTAAATGGAATGACAACAATACTATAAATATTACATGAAAACAGCCAAAAATGTCAGAAATACAAAAAGAGAAAATTTTAATAAAGTTTGATGTAATCATCTTTGGCATTTTTACTGGCCTATAGTTTTTTCAAAAAAACAACTGTAGTCATTTCATAATGTGTGTTGATTCAGACCATTCATCTAAGTGTCTTTGACTAATACTTTGATGCTAGCTGGTGATAAAAAAGCTCTCAAACAATACATATAAATGTTAATTACACAATATGTGTGGATATGTGTACTGTGTGTACTATGTAAAGTGTTTCAGATATAAACCGTAAAGAGATGTAATGTATGGACCATCTTTTTAGCATCTTTCAGCTCACTGTTTTGTTTTTAAGGCGTTCAATATACTGTTTTGGTTCACTTTCACTGCTCTAATTAGCACGCTTTCAACAGCAGGCAGCTGTTTTCAGTTTAAAAAAATTCAAAACACAGCTGTACACTACCAGGAAAACAGCAGACAGAAAAACTTTGGCAATTAATTGGCAAACACAGTGGATCATTTAGTAGCTAAAAACAGATATTGCCCTCAGGAGTTGGTGGAGACCAAAATATAGCTACAAGTAGAGTGATTATCAGGTGGATGCAAACACACTGCAAGTAATTTCTTGGTATTCTGTGTTTTTCAAAATCCAGTGAAAGTGATAAATAACTCATGTCAGGTTTGTGTTTCCAGCTTGCAAACAACAACAAATTGTAGCAAAAACCATCCAATGTCACGTTTTCATTTTGGCAGCTAAAAACAAGAAAAGGAGTTTCTGCAACCTGAAACACCAAACAACCCAAAACGAGAAGGGCACGGCTGTAAAAGTTAACAGTGCGTAACACACAAATTATGTGTGTGTGTCAGAGGAAAAAAGTGCAAGTCAACACATGCACAATCATGTCTCGGTGTGTGTGTGTGCGTGTGTGTGTGAAGCACCTGCTGCGTTGCTGCAGGAAGCACCTGTCAGCAGTCGTCTCCGCGGTGCAGCCCCTGTCGACATGAGGGTTTGATCCCAAAACTCCCCAAACACACACACTTACACCGACACTAACAGACAACTTAAGCCAGTGGCTCGCTCTGCAGCAGGGGCTTCGCATAGTCTGCGGCTTTGCTCCAGTTAAACTGACAACATGTTCTTTTCTGAAGCGCTGTGGATGGGGGTAGGCTCCCTGTTTTGGTGGCATGTGGGGAAAAAGGAGATCAGATTCTTCTTCTGCAGAACGGGAAGCAGCAGTGTGTGTGTTTGTGAGCGTGTGGTATTATGTTTACAGCCTGCCGAGGGCACGTTTTACGAGAGGTGATTCCTCCTGTGTTGCAGCCAGAGCCAAAGTTCAACTAGACTTCTTGCAAACACACCAATTTGCTTTGTCCTCAAAAACATACACACACATTTAACACTATTCTCATCCCGTCTACACACACACTCCAAATTGTTGCCTCGCACCCAAGAGCTTAAGTCCAAGTTCAGAAAGTCACACTGTTTTCAGGATGCACACACACAAAGACACGGGGGCTTCTGTTAACCTGAGAGGCAGAGGGTCAATCCCTGTGATCCTGCAGCCTACATGCCTTCCATACAGACATGCCGCCGACACCGCAACCCGACTCTCGGCCAGATTAGGACTAATCAAGCATGGCACAGCTCAGGGCAGCAACGGCATGACACACACATGTAGACAAACACATGGATATACTGTACTACAAACATGTGCCAACCCTTCCTCTTTAAAATTTCTGATCAAGTATTTGCCAAAAATATGACCACAGAGAGAAAAATTATTTCTTGCATCAAGTATCATTATTAACAGTGCATGCAACATTTTATAATGTGGATTTTGCTCCTTGTTTCGGTTCCAGTCTGTTAAATTTCCTGGCAGTTTTTGATAGTTCAGGTTTTATAGGGTTAATGCTTTCCTACAGAACATAAAATGTCTGAAAATACACAAATTCCACACCAGTGAGAGTCTATCCCTCAGAAAACGCGGCTGCTGAATTGAAAGGTCTAATTTAATGTCCAGGTTTGTCTTCCTTCACTTATTTTTGGCACCATGTAACAAATGTGCATGACACTCTTCCAGAAGTGAGTAGGAAACACCCGCAAACAAAGAATGAGCAGCTGCTTTGTACTCTGACACTTTTATATACTCTCCAGATTCACTTCTGTAACTCAACAAGTTGTTGTTGATATGACTCTTGTGCATTTCTGACATCTGAGGAACTGAAGATCCAGTGGATTACTTTTATTTTTGACATCCTAACAACAGCAGAAAATTCTTAGTGATTGCATGAGGGGCAGCTGATGCTACCAGTAGCAGGCCGGAGCAACACTGCATGGAGAAAAGTCTCGATAATCGAGTCCCATTGCAACAGCTAAGCACCTATCTATGCTGTCTGCCTTTACAAACATTCGAGAAAGAATGAGCCATTTGAATATGAGCAACAAGTCAGTTTGTGAAATTTCTTCCTTCGTACACATTTCATGATCAGCCATGAGTGGTTTGATTGCAAAGTGAAAGTGTTTAGGAACCACAGCAACTCAACCATGAAGTTGTAGAGCAGGGTCACCGGGTGACTGGGTGACTGGAGCTCCAAACCTCATCTGTCCTTAACATCAGCACAAAAAGTCTGCACCGGGAGTCATGGTTTCCATGGCTGAGCAGGTCCTGTTGGTGTAATGTGCACTTTTTTTCCACACAATATTTGTGTAATCTGTAGTGTGCACAATCGGAGTCTTTGATACGAGTTTGAAACCAAATAAAAAAAAAAATGACTGTCTTCATGTTGTGTTTTTCTTTTTTTTTCTTTTTTGCAACTGCCATTTTTGAAAGGATTTTCTCTCTAAAGGAGAGGGGCTTACAAGACTAATAGTCTATTTAAAGCAACCTGGATGTACACCAAGATTTTACAGGTTCTTCTTTTGCCTGTCAACCACGTCTCCACTTATTTTAATGAAATTCAGATTGGTTTTCCAACAAGCGTTGTGTTACATAGTAACTTCTGCAGGATTTTCTCTTTGTTCCTGCTCTGTGTTAGATCCTGCTTTAACTCTATCCAGCTGAACTCTGAGGTTGTTATCCTTTATGTCTTAAACAGCCTTGACTGCGCTCTTACAGGTCAGGTACTTAATTAATGCCTCATCAATCAGAGCAGGCTGGTCTTTGGAGAATGGCTGCATTAAAGCAAACCAGAAGATTTTCGAGTGCTGCAACAACTTATAGTGTAAAAAAAATCATGTATTTCTTGCACTATGAAAGCACATAAAGCTATTCTGGTAGATCCCAAAATGACATTTTAAACCTTTAAATGTATTTAAGAGGAGTGAACTCATAGGTTTAATATGCAGAGCATACATGCGCGTCTGTATAATGTTTTTGCATGAGACCGTGAGGACCTGCCGTCACGTGGCTACAGCTTGACTTTTCCCATTAAAGTTTTCCCACCAGTCGCAGGTGTTGACCGGTCGTCTGGTCCCTATTTGGCCACAAATGTCTGGGATGTGTCAGGCCTTCCTCAGCTCTGCTCCCTTTGTAGTCTGCAATGGGAGGCTCGTTTTGTCTTTGTAGTCATTAAGCAGAACCTTATTTTGGCAGCCACCGTGTTAGAGGGGACAGGTGATTTATAGCAGAGGGAGCAACAGGGTGATCCCTGCCATTCGTTTCTTTTTTGGGAGGGATGGGGGCTCATTCTGGATGTTTTTATGGCGTCTAAACACACTCTACAGTCTATTAGTACCCTGTGCGCAGGACTCGGAGTCCAGGATTAGCGATCAAAAGACTGATGGCGGGGGCACTGGGGTAAAAGGTTGGAGGTAACATTAGCCCGGCCTGCCCAGGTGGCGTGGCTGGAAAGAGACTCCCATATGTGGTGTAGATGGGTCAAACGTGGGCTGTGTGTGTGGGTGGAGGCTTCCAGCATGCTGTATGTGGAGCCTGTGTGTGCATGACTTTTATGGAGCATACTGAACTCCGTCTAGTTGGATCTGAACCATAACCGATTAGATTTCAGGCTCAGAGTGGTGACCGCTGACCTTCTTACAAATGAAATGTGGTTGATTTTTCTGCAGCCACATCTCACCTTCACAGCACTTGGTGTGCCACTGCAATCTACTTCACTTACTCTGAAAAAACCTACTTAAAATCACCCTTTTTGCTAAAGTTCCTGTGAGCAGCTTTGAGTAAAAATGAGGAAAAAGACAGAAATTTAAAAATTGGGTTTTAATTTTGCCTGGGCAGTCATTCTTAGAATTAAAAAAATAAGGGAATTAAATAACATTGAATAGATTTCAGTTTTGATTCCTTAAGATGACTTTTTACTGAAAACTAAATAGACTTTGTTGGTATGCTGTATACCTAACAGGTCATGAATGCACTGAACTGGCACGAAAAGTCATCATTGTCTGAATCTACTGTTGAAAATACTGGTTTGCTTTGCTTCCTACTTTATATTATGTAAGTTTAATATAATGTGTGATGTAGGTATAGAACTATTTTAGCTTTGGCCAGTTTAAATGCTTGACGTGTCTTTTACGACCTGCTGTTCGGGACATATCTAACAACAAATTTTGCAAATTTTAAATGTAGCAAAAAACACACAAGAGTTCATTTTTTAAAATTCAATAAATAGGTTTATTCTTATTGGTAATCTTACAGCAGTCTCTCACAGTGTGGTTTCTAACCATTTATATGTCTTGCTGGCCATGACACAGCTGGTGGTCTCATATGTGGGTGGCCTCATCCTCAGTGTCTGAGTCATGTGGCAGAGAGAGCTGGGCTTCAGGGAGGTTGTTGCACTGCAGGTAGCTGAAAACGACTTGGACCTGAACACACACACACACACACACACACACACACACATCAGGTCCATGGTGAAAGAAACACACGTTTCTAAGTTATCACACACCTCAGAGCTTTGAAATGTATTTCAGTTCAAAATTTTGCACAATTTCTGGGAACTGAAAACTGATGATGTCATTATGTCATACTTTTTTGGAGTTTCAGTCATTGATCGAGTCACGAGGTGTAACTGAATAGCCTGAGCAGCCATAAAAAAAGAGCTACTTGAATTCCTTACATACCAAGGAAAGGTAAAGTTTCCTTTACTACCGCCTTTAGCACAGGATGCATTGGCTGGACCATAAAGTATGGTCCAGCCAGCCTTCATAGCAAATCAGTCAAAAAACCCAAAATGTCCCAAAAATTATCAGAAAAATTAACGAAGTGGGTCAGATCTTATAAATGTTAAACAGAAGTATGTTTCCATGTTCACACTATAGCTTTTTAGTATGTTTTTATTTTTTAACAACAGTTTTTTAAACCCAGAGGTGAAATATGAACAATAATGAAGATGCTGCCTCTTCAGATCAAGCTTCTAGCTCATGGGCGGGCAACTCCAGGCCTCGAGTGGCGGTGTCCTGCAGGTTTTAGATCTGTCCTTGATCCATCACAGCTGATTTAAATGGCTAAATGACCTCCTCAGCATTTCTTGAAGTTCTCCAGAGGCCTGGTAATAAACTAATCATTTGATTCAGGTGTGTTGACCCACGGTGAGCTCTAAAACCTGCAGGACACCGGCCCTCGAGGCCTGGAGTTGCCTACCCCTGTTCTAGCTTATATCAAATTTTCTTTAAGGTTTGCTGTAATTGAATTTGTATTAATTAAGTCTACTGCTCTATTGCCAGCATTAAGAATATTTGTTAATTCATTTTTACATCAGGTTAGCTGGTGCCCCCAACCTCTGTCTCTGAAACAGACAAATAGAGACAGACAATCATTCTCATCTATCTCTAGTTTCAGATCATTGGGTAACCCAACATGCATGTCTTTGGTGTGTGGGAGGACGTCGGAGTACCCATAGAGGGCCAACATATACACTCCACACAGAAGGACCCCAGCTGGTTGGTGGATTCAAACCTAGGATCTTCTTCCTATGAGATCAGCGTGCCAACAAGTTTGGTTGAAGTAAGGGGGAAATTTTGCAGACTGCTTTCTGGACATTGTAGTTTCAACACGGTAAAACAGCTGGCATCATACTGTTCTTCATCACACATTTCATTGACCTAACAACTTTTTCCATTGACACCAAGGAAAAGGAGGTAGGGAGTCGAGTTTGGACGATATGATCTTATGCTTGTTTTCATGCAAATCTCAACTTGTCATTACATTTTCTCTTATCAAGTTTCCCACTCAGCTGACCTGTAGCTTATACACTCCCAGCTCACAGTTGTTTAGGTTTGTGATTTCCTGATTTCTTTTCAAACCATGCCTTTTTGGTAAGAAATGCTCGCTCTTTACTCTGACATTTACTTTCACCTTTCATTTGTTTTTACTAATTATTTCACTTTGGCATTAATTAATCAGTAGAAAAAATAAAATAAATAAAATACAGAACATTTGCAGACATTGTGTTAAACACGGCCAAGTCTTTTTCTCAGGTATCCACTCACCTGTACCACCACCTCCTGAGAGATATCCACAGTGGGCCCATGGTGTCCCTGCCCAGCCACTGGGGGGCGTAGGAGACTCGGCCCAAACACAGTGGCAAGGTTTAGTAGAGACATCTTGTTAATGTGTTGCCTCTCTGAGATTCTGGAAGGAAAAAAAAAAGATTGAAAACATTAAAAAGTTTTAGGCACAGACTGAAAATATCAGCTGATTTGTAAAGATAAAAAATAAAGTTTATATTTCTTACTTCCCGGTGTAAGGTGTTCTAGTTAACTGACCATTACGGCATTTTGTGCAGTTTGTTTAATGAGCTAAGTATATATTTTTTTCATATTCCTACATATTTTTAAAAGTAAGCATTTTTCAGTTCCAACTAGCAGAGAGAGCAAAATTCACTCTAATAATTATCCTGAAGGTTAAACCATTATAACCATGTCATGGGTGAAGCTGTGGATTCATACCGTTGGAGGTGATGCAGCAGGTAGAGGAAGGTGTGGCGGTTGGCATCAGGACAAGACTGCAGCAGGGACAACATGGAGACCAGCCGTGGGTTTTGTTCTTGGATGTCTACATGAAAATCAGCCAGGATGCAGTTAACTGAGTAGCGTCTGTGAGACTCACAGGGCATCATTTAAAGGTGCTGTTCATGTCATTAAAGCTTAGGGAAATAGGGTTATTGTTCACTTCTGCAGAAGGAATTTCAGGGTTTATATACAAACCCCTTTTCCCCTGTATGTAAAATAGAGTTTATATAAAAGATGGACGCTCCCCATTAGTTTGTATGGTGCCACAGTGAAATCTCCAAAGCATTTTGACTGTTGCCATATTGTGCTTTGAAAGCAGATGTGGTGAGCGAGGGGTGGTTCTGACAATTAAAGCACGTTACACAGCACAAGCAAAGCTTGCGAAAAAATTCACCGCAGATGTCATTTCCTAATCATTTTTTTCTGATTTCAATTTAAAACATGCAGAAGACAAAAGAATAATGTGAAATATTAATAACAATGCTAAATAATGTGGCAGCAGAAGCTACTGATCTCAATGCTCTTTTCTTTACCTTAACAATGTCTTGAAGACGCACCAAAATGCACACCATAGATACTTCACCTTGTGTGTTATCCTCTTGTTTTACTCAAATTCAATTACATTTTATATATTTACCATTAAATCAAAACAAGCTCAAGGTAGCACTTTATATCGTAAGGTAAAGACTCTGAAATAATAGACAAAAAACCCCAACAGTCAGACAACACTATGAGCAAGCACTTGAACAGTGGGAAGGGAAAACTCCCTTTTAACAGGAAGAAACATGTAGCAGTGCCAGGCTCAGGGTGGGGTAGCCATCTACTGTGACCGGTTGGGCGGTGAGGGGAGAGAGATAGGTCAAAAGACACTTATGGTGGGTAATAAGGACGCACTGAAGCACCTTTCCTCTGTGTTCACACAGGAACCCTCTCAAATGAGTAATCAACCACAACCACAATGTAAAACAGGCCCACCCTGAAGTGTACCCTGCTTTCTCCTCTTTTCTCGCTCTATTGACAACCATCACATGCAAATGTGCATCATCCAGTAACACTTGAAACTAGTGCTGAAAAACGTATCAGTTCACTGTGGTCATAGATCAACAGTTGTTTTGCCATCGGCCTTTATGCAGCCAGATCTCTCTTGCTTGTCATTAAAAAGAAAGCACATCTAAGGCATTTCTAAACTGGCTTCAGTTTTCAGGCTGTGAAAACTCACAGGAAGCAGAATATCTATTTTGATAGATGATTCATCTATAATTGTTTTAGCCTCTTTTTTTCATTCCTTTACAAGCAGTAAAAAGCTTCTAGATGATGAATTTGCACTGAAGAGATACCAGTTCTAACAACAAACTATGCAAGTAGTTTAAAGGTTTAGAGCTAAACTTCAGTGAAGTATGCATACGGTATGCATGTGCTTTGTCATATACAGTGGGGCAAAAAAGTATTTAGTCAGCCACCGATTGTGCAAGTTCCCCCACTTAAAATGATGACAGAGGTCAGTAATTTGCACCAGAGGTACACTTCAACTGTGAGAGACAGAATGTGAAAAAAAAATCCATGAATCCACATGGTAGGATTTGTAAAGAATTTATTCGTAAATTAGGGTGGAAAATAAGTATTTGGTCACCTCAAACAAGGAAAATCTCTGGCTCTCACAGACCTGTAACGTCTTCTGTAAGAAGCTTTTCTGTCCCCCACTCGTTACCTGTATGAATGGCACCTGTTTGAACTCATCATCTGTATAAAAGACACCTGTCCACAGCCTCAAACAGTCAGACTCCAAACTCCGCCATGGCCAAGACCAAAGAGCTTTCGAAGGACACCAGGAAAAGTATTGTAGACCTGCACCAGACTGGGAAGAGTGAATCTACAATAGGCAAGCAGCTTGGTGTGAAAAAATCAACTGTGGGAGCAATCATCAGAAAATGGAAGACATACAAGACCACTGATAATCTCCCTCGATCTGGGGCTCCACGACAAGATCTCATCCCGTGGGGTCAAAATGATCATGAGAACGGTGAGCAAAGATCCCAGAACCACACGGGGGGACCTGGTGAATGACCTGCAGAGAGCTGGGACCAAAGTAACAAAGGTCACCATCAGTAACACACTACAACGGCAGGGAATCAAATCCCGCAGTGCCAGACGTGTTCCGCTGCTGAAGCCAGTGCATGTCCAGGCCCGTCTGAAGTTTGCCAGAGAGCACATGGATGATACAGCAGAGGATTGGGAGAATGTCATGTGGTCAGATGAAACCAAAGTAGAACTTTTTGGTATAAACTCAACTCGTCGTGTTTGGAGGAAGAAGAATACTGAGTTGCATCCCAAGAACACCATACCTACTGTGAAGCATGGGGGTGGAAACATCATGCTATGGGGCTGTTTTTCTGCCAAGGGGACAGGACGACTGATCCGTGTTAAGGACAGAATGAATGGGGCCATGTATCGTGAGATTTTGAGCCAAAACCTCCTTCCATCAGTGAGAACTTTGAAGATGAAACGAGGCTGGGTCTTCCAACATGACAATGATCCAAAACACACCGCCCGGGCAACAAAGGAGTGGCTCCGTAAGAAGCATTTGAAAGTCCTGGAGTGGCCTAGCCAGTCTCCAGACCTCAACCCCATAGAAAATCTGTGGCGGGAGTTGAAAGTCCGTGTTGCTCGGCGACAGCCCCAAAACATCACTGCTCTCGAGAAGATCTGCATGGAGGAATGGGCCAAAATACCAGCTACTGTGTGTGCAAACCTGGTAAAGACCTATAGTAAACGTTTGACCTCTGTTATTGCCAACAAAGGTTATGTTACAAAGTATTGAGTTGTATTTTTGTTATTGACCAAATACTTATTTTCCACCCTGATTTACGAATAAATTCTTTACAAATCCTACCATGTGGATTCATGGATTTTTTTTCACATTCTGTCTCTCACAGTTGAAGTGTACCTCTGGTGCAAATTACTGACCTCTGTCATCATTTTAGGTGGGGGGACTTGCACAATCGGTGGCTGACTAAATACTTTTTTGCCCCACTGTACTGGGGATGTGTTGTCTTACCTAGACTTCTTGTCAGACTCTGAAAAAGCTCAGTGGGTATCAGGGGTTCAGGCAGCTCTCTGAAGTAAAGTTTGAGAACACCAGACACAGCGTTCACTTCTGCGCTTCTCAGCTTCGTCACCGCTTCACGGAGATCTGATCAGAAAAGGGACAGATAATGATAATCATCTTTATTACAGGTATCTTCTTTTAACCTTCACTTCCTTCCTCACAGGCACAAGAACATGTATGGGTATGTGCTGCATTGCAGATGTAGATCATCAGGTAAAAGATTTTGAGTCAGTTTTTGTTTTTCTTACGATAAACAAGACAAACAGACCATAATATACGTTTGCCTGCATATTAAGTGTTCATCCTCCAAGACTGCCGTTCATTGATTAATCTGTCTGATATTGAATGTGTGCATACGTTTTTAAAGCAATCAGGGGTTTTTAGCTAAACAGACATTTTAGTCGCTAGCAACAATGACAGTGTTCACTTTTCAGTCAGTTCTTTCCTAGACAAAAGAAACATGTGGGTTTAAAGTCAGCTATCTTTGGCACAGTGCAGCACTAGCAAGAGATAAATGTTTCTGAGATGTTGCACCTAAACTCAAGAGTCAAGGTCAAATGTCACCACTAGTGTTTCTCTTGGAAGAAAGTTACGATTTCAAGGAAATTAATTTGAATTATTTTGGTGATAGTTGAGTTTTTAAAAATTCTTGGTCTGCAACCAATGAACTGATGCCTCTTTGAGCCTTCAGTTTAGCATTTTAATTATATCTTTTTAAGTTATACTGCATGTTTAGTGCTCAAACATTATTGCTAAATACAAACATACAGCACTGTGCAAAAGTCTGGAATCACTTTTCATTTTGTTAAGTAGGCCTAAAAAACTATTCACAGCAACAACAACAACTGTCCTTAATAAATAGGAAAAAGGTATATCTAAGACCCAGGACCTGAGAACCCTTAAGTTTATCAATCTGCTGTTCACTGAAACCTCATCCGAACAGTGTGGCTTTAAAAAAGGAAGGGAATTCTTAAGGAAGAGAAATAAGGAGAAAAGAATGAGGTATTTCAATTTCATTTTTAAGCATCCCAAATATAGTTCAGTTAAAGTGTTCCTGGATAGAAACACACAATGAAACACCATCAGTCATGATCTGGCCTCCCCAGAGCCCAGACCTCAATATTGAAGTATCATCTAAATCCAGCCAACATTCATGGAAGAGCTTTGAATGTCCTTAAAGAAACCTGGAGAACTTTTACTGAAGACTTCTTACAGAAATGACAAGCAAACTGCCTAAGAGAGCTCAGACTGTGTTGAAGTATAAAGTTGAAATTTTGACTTAACCTTATTAGAACTGCATAAATGCTGTTTTTACCTTATATACTGTACTCCCATGTATGTTTACACATGTTTCAATAACGTGCTGCAGTTTTCCTAACAAAACTTGTAAAAACTTGTTACCATGCTGATATGAGGCACTATTTGGCGGGAAGATAAAACCCAGGATCAAGGAAGTTCAAAGACAAACATGCATGTTATTTCCCTTGACTGCAGTTCCTGATTCTCACTGACTTGTACTATTAACAAAAGGACTGTGCTGAATAATGTTTAGGAAAGAGGATGAGGAAGCTGAAAATGTCTGGGTCATGTTCAGTGTTGGTCAAGTTACTTGAAAAAAGTAATCAGTAACTAATTACTGATTACTTCCCCAAAAAAGTAATCCCGTTACTTTACTGATTACTTATTTTCAAAAGTAATTAATTACTTAGTTACTTAGTTACTTTTTAAAAACACGATTTACAACCTGAATAGGTGATAAAGCGATAGATCTTTCAGCCCAATTCTACTTTTTCTACATAATCCATCATACAAAATGTAATCAAATGGAAAAGTCTCTTTTTAAAACTTGTTTTATAGTTTTAATCTTTTAACTTTATGCATCAAGCAAAAATTTAATTATATGCAACATTCTCTGACTGTGAAAAATAGTTTAACATTTAAACCTATTTTCTGCACATTCCAGCACATAAAATAAAATATTTTTTGTGTTTACACTCACTCTTTCAAATAGATGCAAGTAAAACACAGCAGAAAATAAATAAAGTCAAAGACTCAGCGGTCCTGTTGCTCTATTTTCACCTGTAAAGCAGGAGTGGGGTAGGCGGAGGTGTGCCTGGTGCAGGTGTGCGCACGGTCAGTTGAAAATCCGCGAGTTTCTCTGTGAATTTCCCATTACGTCGTTGCGCACTCGGCGCTTGTTTAGGGGTTTCGTGTAAAAAGAAGTTTTCTTCCCACGCACAACGGACACTAATGTTTTTGTCACTTTTTATGGAATCAAACTCAAAGTAAGGTCAGTACTTCCACGCTTTAAACGCTGCACGCTCATACTCTCTCCCGCACTCGATATATGATCCACTGTTGATCTGCACACAGCTGTTGTCACGAACGTCGCACTCGCTTACGTCACTGTCATGAGACATTCTCGCAAAAAAATCACGGTTTTAGTAACGCAGCGTTCCTACGGGAAAGTAACGGTAATCTAATTACCGTTTTTGCAATAGTAATCCCTTACTTTACTCGTTACTTGAAAAAAGTAATCAGATTATAGTAATGCGTTACAAGTAACACATTACTGCCCATCTCTGGTCATGTTAAAGAAGACCTGAGTGAAGAGCCTGATGACTGCAGCTCACTCCAATCTGCTCCTTGCATTGCAACAACTCTTTATCACTGCACTTTCCAACAAAAAGATCATTTTTCTGTGTAATGCTTTTCTTACTGTTGTTGAACGCAGCCTTGAGCGTGCTGATTTCACTGGTTGTTCCTGAAATCCTGTAGATTCCCACCTCGTCCATGCCTCTCCTCTCCACTTCCTCCACGCAGCATCGCACCACATGAGGAACCAGCACTCCCTCCTGTCTGACAGAGGATTGAGACTTTAAGCATTGTGTAAGTTGCATGTTGCATTTGATTGATAGGCTGTTTCATTTCATTTCAATCTCCACTCCCGCCACACTTCTGCTTCCCTTTAATCCACTTTCCCACAAATTAAACTGAAAACTAGCTCCACGAAAGGGCACACAGGGGAAATAAAACTCTGAACCAAGCTACAGCTTTCAGTTTCAAGGTGTCTAGACTGTTCGGGTAGGCCAAGAGGGAGCCAGCTGACATGATAGGCAGGAACTTACTTTGCCACGGTTTCAATGGGGACGCCAAAGATTGGCGGCTGTTGAACCGTGGAGCTGGGTGGTCCCAGTGGGTGGGGACAGTACTTGAGAGAGAGGGTGAGCTCCACCTGGCCCAGCTGTAGGGTCTGTTTTTTCCATCGCTTATTCAGAGTTTTAGAGTCCAACTGATGAACACAGAAAAAAGTAAAATTCAACTTGACATGGGGTTTTAAAATAAAGGAAATGGTAGGATCATTAGTTAGAAAAAAATCTGTCTGGTGAAATAATTACATTGGGCATTTTTACCCCTAACCTATATATCTGGATTGGCAAAAAAAAGGCACGTGCCACATTAATGATAATAATAAGCTTCATTTATGCAATACCTTTCAAAAATAGTTGCACAAGATAAGACAGAAAATAAAGCAATATGTCTGTCTCTATGTAGCCTGCCTCTTGCCCTGTGGTAGCTGGGATAGGTCCCTGCGTGCTATGTGTGCCAAAAGTCAAGTTTAGACAATGTCCTATGCCCTATTGGTTAACCTAGATTATGTTACCCTCCTACTGTTGTCTCAAGGACATCCTGGCTTACTCTTACTGATAACTGCCTGACATAGAAGCGCCATCAGGTAATGTAGCTCACCAGGCTTTCCAGGCTATAAAACTTTACTCTCTGTCTCTTAAATTTGGTGGCAATTTCAGATTTTGTGGGAGACCCAAGCAAAAATTCACAGAACATTCATTACTATGTTATAAATTATCTGACACCTAAAACAACCGTTCTATTAAAAAAACCCATTAACCCTTTTAACAGGAAGAAAGCTGTGGCAGGCTCAGGGAGGGCCAGCCATCCGCAGTGACCATGTGGGGTTAGGGTAAGAAGATGTCACAAGAAACAAATTATGTGATGCTCTATTATTCATGTGTCTCTCTCACAGTTATTTAATGTTATTTAAGCATTTAGTTATCTATGATTCATTTGATTGCTCCAAAAACAAAAAAAGCTTCCTCATTTTTCTTTTTTCTCTTCCTCTTTTCTCTTCTTCTTTTTCTCACTCACAGAGGGATAACTCCTTCTCATTTCCTGCTGAGTGGCTTTCATTGCTTACAATGGGAGTGAGTGGGGCCCATTTAGGGAGGGCAGGTCTCTCCTACTATCATTGGAAACAATGGTGTACTACTGTTGCTGAAGTTTAAAATTTGTAGCTGATGCCCAGCCACTTGCCTGCATTTCCCTTCTGCTTTCACTCCACCTGTCATCACCCACTTTGATGTTTGTGTCTTAGGTATTTTATGTTTAAAATAATTTTATGTTTAAGATGTTTTATTTGAATAAACCTCTTGTAGGAACTGTTATCTCGTCCTCTACTTTGAGCCAGTTTGTGACAAATGGCCACGATGCCAAATAGTAAAAGTACTTCAGCTAATCATTCAGTTCAATTCATTTCAAGCCAGAGATTAATAATAACCAATGATTACATGCAAATGCATGCATTTAGAAAAGTACGAGCTAAGTTAGCCATCAACACTGACTCAAACTCCATTTTCACTAATTGGTATTAAATATCCCGGACAAGTCCTGTTACAACGTGAACCACAGTTTCTGTGGGCTCAAACCCAGAATAGACATTAATCATCTCTGCAAATTAAAGAGGAACTGCAACTGTTAAAACCCATTTTTAACATATTTTTTTCTTCAGTGTTGCTGGGAAAGATCTTGGATTATATGTTTAATATTATATTGAAAACCAGCTTACTGGTATTAATAAAGATAAAGCTGAAGTTCTTAGGCCTCTCTGTACCTTTACTGTATTTTTTCCCAGAACAGTATCATCCTGTCCATTTGACTGACTCACACATAACACCCTCAAGTTCTGTGCACCGTCCACCTGGAAAGACAGCTCCTGTTTAAAATGTAAAAAAAAGATGTTAACAATGAAAAAAGACTTTAACTTCCTTAAGATGCATGTGGAGAATCTATGTCTTATTCTAAATCCTTCACTTCGGCCTACTAGTCGGATTTAGTGTTGATTTTACTGCCTCTGATAATGTTTAAAGCATGGTATTGTCACACCAGAAGTGCAGACTTTTGTAATCCCCTAAGCTCAAACCTGACATCATGTCGGATACTGTCTAGACATGAAGAAGAAATGAAGAATTGCTACCTTGAACTGGTTGACAAATCCCATCTACAAGATAGTAGGACTTTTCCTCAAATGCTCTGATGTCTCTTATTTTCTTTACTTTAACAAATTAACTCAATATTAAAGCCAAATGTAATATTTCATATTTCAAAAGGCTTGAGTCTAACCTGGTCCCAGTGAGGGTTTAGGCTGAGGACTGAAGAGTGTGTCTGGGTCTGCTGATCGTAAAACTTGAAGCCATCCACTTCCACACACACATACACACCTGAGTGAGAAAGAGAGCATCATTAATGAACACAAAACTATTTAGCTTAGACAGAAGATAGCCCAGTCTCTCATGATGCTTCAAAATTGCTAAGAAGCATACAAGCTGGCTGCTGTAGGCCAGCGGCAGAATCAATGGCCACACTCAAAGTCCCACATAGCGCCTCCTCGTTCAGTCCTGAGGAAAGAGACAGAGACAAATCTCACTGGATTTATTCACGCTGAATAAAAGCCTAATGGTAATACAGGACACACACGAGGAAAGCTGTGGTAAAAGGTATTGTGGGTCTCATGTAAAGATCAAAGAGAGAACCTCACACAGTGTATTGCATTTCAGACACAGATGTGATTGTGTGGTGAGAAAAAAGTGAGTCTTAGATGTGTACCGGCGTCAGTGCTATGTAGAGGTGGCTGCTGGGTCATTCTCAATTTCACACACGAACTGGTCAACGTGAGCAAGTCTGGAGGGACAGTTTCTATGTCTGGCAAACATGACACAAAGCAAATAACAATCAGTTGACAGAAGAGTAACACATTAGTCTGGACCCCAGTGAGAGAAACTTGAAGCTCGGCTCAATTAAAGCTAAAAAAAATAAAGCATATAAAAGGCAGGCTGCACCCATGCATTCATGTTGTTCTTGCCCAATTCTGATGTGAACATCTGATTCATCAAACCAGGCAGCATTTTATTATCCAATCTTGGTGAGCATATGAGATTCAGTTTCCTTTAGCTGAAAGGAGCGGCACCTGGTGTGGTCTTCTGCTGCTATAACGTCCATGTTGTGCATTTAGAGATGCTCTTCTGCACACTCTGGTTTTGACAAGTGGTTATTTGAGTTACTGTTGCATTCTTGTTGGATCAAAGCACTTCAGCCATTCTCCTCTGACTTCTGAAATCAACTAGGGGACTTCCACTTACTGGATATTTTCTCTTTTTCATGCCATTCTCTATAAACCCTATAGATGGTTTTGTGGGAAAATCCAAGCAGATCAGCAGTTTTTGAAATACTCAGAGCAGCCCGTCTGATACAAACAACCGCACCACATTCGATGTCACATTTCTTCCTCATTCTGATGATCACTTTGAAATTCAGCAGGCGACCTTGACCAATGGCTACAAACTTAAATGCAAGGTAATGTCATGTGGTGTTCTGATTAGATATCCGATATGAGATACGAGTAAACACAGATTTTAACAGCTGTACTTAATAAAGTCATCAGTGAGTGTGTAGTAACGGTAATTAGCTGTTATCTGGCTCTGCGACGTACCCATACATAGCAACCAAGCTAGCTAGTATTATAACCAGCTTATAGTGGCCAGAAACAAGTAACAAGTTTTTTTTTGCTCATTTAAATGATGCAACACTGCCTCACATGACCTACGGAACATTTTCTAAGACCCTCAACTTCCTTAAACATAACAAGTAGGCATTTTATAAAAACCGCATGCTGTCCACGAGACATCTCACGTTCGCTTCTCTCCTAAGTCGACTCAACTCTTACACACAGCCTGCTAGCAGCACAACAGAAGATGGTATTTTAATAAGTAATTACACATGTTAATAAATTAAACTAAATAATTACTTAGGTTTAGTTCATTATTTAGCTACTAAACTAAATTAAAATATGCTCCGGGGCGAGATTGACTTCAATCACTTTCATGACATACAGCTGGCCACAAATACTTAACAGTGCTTGAAAAGCTACAAATAGATTTGCAGAGTAGCCGTAATTACACTCCAGAGTGGTCAAAAGCTGTGTACTCACTAGCTGTGGTGAGTTTGAGTATGGCCTGCCTCCATTCTTCTAGTTCATAGAGAGAGGAGAAGAGGAGAGCGTGACTCTGTGATAAGACAAAAACAGGCCATTGTGTAATCTTAGTCTGTTGTTTAGGACTTAAGTGAACTACATTAGAATGTGTGTGTGCTCGTATACCTTGCCACTGGGGCTGTGCAGCTCCAGTCTGTAAGCAATCAAGTGTGTGAGCAACATCAGCTCCATTTGTTCCAGTTTCTTCTGGCTACGAGCTGCCAGGCTCCTGGATGTTTTCTTCATACAGAGAAATGCAGTGACATTTGTAATGTATGTTTTCTGGATTTAGGCTGTCATTTTCAGCACCTAAAAATACTTAAGTATCACCATTATCTCATTGTCTGGTCACTTTAAAAAGTTATTAAAATTGTTTGTTTCCTCGTTCCTGTAAAACTAAAAGTTGTTAGTCCCTTGTTCTACTGTGCAGACTGATGAGTATGTTTAGGTACTAGAAAAAACAACCCCGTTGTTAAATGTAGGTTGCAGGCTGTATTATGAAGTGCTGCCAGAAATGTTTACATTTAAGTCATCTGGTTACTCTCTCACTCTCTCTGTCATAAACACACACCGGATTTTGCCGGAGCTGCTGTAGTAGCTGCTGACGCAGGACGTACATCTTTGTTCGTATGTTGTGTAAGCGCACGTTGGTCTCTGGCGGCCGTTCCTTGTCTGCAACCCAACGAAGTCTTAGACCGGCGAGAGGCAGATACCAGCAGAATCTGTACTGGTCCTGCTTCCTAGGAGAAACACAGCATGAACAGGCGTCATGAGATTTTGTGAGTCTTTCCACACCTTTAAACAGTTTTAAGAGGGTTCCTTTCTAACTGTGAAAAGGCAGATGCACACTACATGCTGCAGGTTGACCACATTCCCCACAAGCCTTAATGCGCTCTCGTGCTAAACTCACCCTCTATTTGCATGTTTAAATCTTGTGCACAGCAGGAGGTCGGTGTAAAGGAAGAGGTGACGCAGGCTGCGTTCACTCTCACTCACATCCACCACAAAGCCATCACGCATTAGCTGGCGTCTCTGGGAGAGTACACACACACACACACAGACATGTTGTAAAATGGGTGCCTGTATACATTCAGCAGGGCATACGTCCTATATAACTTTTCTCCATATTCATTTGAAGGGATCGGGTTGGAGACTAAACTCACCATCCCACGACTTAACGTGACCTCCCGTTTACTTTGTGAACTCTCGTTGACACCAGACAGGAAGCTGCGAGACAATCTCAGAGCTTCCTGTAAGGCTGTGTAATCTCTATGCTCTGTTGGCGTCGTCTTCAGGAGATCCTACAAGATGACAGAGGTTGCCAAATCAGAAAAAAACAAAACAAGAAAGAGCTCCTGCTCCAGGAAAAAAAATGTATGGACTCATCATTAAAAATAATGCAACCAAACACCAGAGCGATTTAAAAAACACTAAGAGGAGGATGTTAATAAAATCGTCCAGGTCTTACCTGCAGCACTAATGTGGTCTTTGTAACTCTGTCCAAGGGCTTGTAAAGAAGAGCTATAAACACAAACAGCGCTATCAGACCCCGGCAGACATGTATGTATTTTGTAAAAAAAAAAAATCACATTTTATTGTAAGTACCTTCAAATGTGTACGTAGTCCGAGCTTTGTCTGTGCCGTTGTTAGACATCATGCTCTGAAAAAGCAGCAGAAGATGCAGTAGCAATGATGCAGTGTGACTCAGCTAAATGTTACTGTGATGGTGCAGGATCTTTAGTACCTCTGCTAGAGTTCGGAAGCGAGGGTCTGAGTGGGTGCACTTCCTAACCACTTCAACAGCTTTCACGTAGTTTTCAATGAAGCCACCGTACAGACCAATCTGGCTCACCTGCACAGGTAAAATACACTGGATGAAAAAGGTCCAAAGTCTAACCTCGATGCACACACAGCTGTGTGACGCTTGATAAATAGCCTGAATAAATCAGCAGCAGTTCAGGCTGTTTATCGCCATCTAAAATTGCCTGGTGAGTAAAAACTTTAACCCAATGTCTAAACTTGAGAAAATGAGATTTCTGTTAATGATGTCATCCTTCCTTTTTATCAGCCATATCTTCCCCACAAACAGAGTCACTGGACAAAACCTGGGTCTTACATACAACAAACAAAAGCTCATTTCCATTCCAGTAAAATAATGACAGAAAACCTAAAACTGAAACAGCCAGATGGAATTCAGCCATCTGTCACACCGCGTCTCTCTGACTCATCACAATATGTGACTTCAAAAGTCATATTGCCTTCAGAAAATGATAAAAGTGTCTGGAAATGTATTGTAGCTTCACCACAATGTGTATCTTAATGAGCACTCAAAGCATTTTACAGTAGAAGCCACAAAGATCCTTACAGCACTCTATTCGATTCATTATGTTATTTATCCTCCTTTCATTCGCACCTATGTCATGCTCTCGAGTTTTGGTAAAGCACTTGTTGTCCTTTGGTCACTGCTGTATTTGTTGGTTTTGTTGCATTTTTTTGGTTCTCCCTGCTTTTGTGTTCTCTTGCCTCTGTCACCATGTTTCGCGTTAGTCATAATGGTTGTCTTTGACTCATTGTTACTTCCTGTTTTATTTTGAAGGTTCCTTTCTGCTGTTCTTCTTTTCATTACTACCACCTTTACCTTTCATTGTAGTCATCTGTGTTTGACTGTTTCCTCCAATCACCCACCAATGTACATCTGTATAGTATAGTATAAAGTCAGTTTGTGTCTGCCTCTTGACTCTAATCTTTTTTGTGATATTTTGTTCTTTCCCTTTTGTTTTTTTTGCTGAGTCAGCCAATAACTCACTTTTTATTACACTACAGATGGCTCTGTGTCCTGCATTGGTATCATCTCGCTGCCACGCGTTGACACCTGCGTCCAGTTTAGAATAATCAAACACAATCAAGAATGTTTTTAAACTCTGAGGCAACAATCCTAACCACTGAACCACTGCTATTTTTATAATGCACAGCAAATGAAAACAGGAATGTTTTATTGGAGATTATGTATCGGAATTTCAGGAGCAGGACCACGTCTCCAAACACGCTCCTTCCGGTTCTCATCTATATAGGTTCCCCCAGTTCTGCAAGCTGTTTATTCTCGTTTATGTGCCTCACCCTCCCTCCCTCCTTGTTCTCAATTCTTTAACTTCTTCACTTCTATTTAGTATACGGGGATCTGCCAGGCCCGAGAGCTGTCGCCAGTCCCCTTCGAGGCCTTCCACAAAATACAGCTCAATTCATGTCAAAGCATTCACTTTTACCTACTAAAACGCTGCCAAACCTAAAATGAGGACGTGGGCCCAGCTAGTGAAATAGTTTAGGGTACCTGCTAGGATAAAGCCCACCTCTTGTTTAATGTCAGCGGGGATATGGTCCCTCCACCATGACCGTTTGCAACAGGGAAGTCAAACTCATTTGACATTGCGGGCCACAGCTTTTAATTTCACAAACTTCATAAACACAACTAATTTTATTGTGTTTATGAAGTTACACACAAACAGAAAATAGGAACAACAGAGCTTAATGCAGTCGTTTTATATATATATATATATGTATATATATATATATATGTGTGTGTGTGTGTGTGTGTGTGTGTGTGTGTGTGTATATATATATATATATATATATGTGTGTGTGTGTGTGTTTGGTTTGTATGACTGATTTGTATGACTGATTCAGATGCGTCCATTGCACACCAACCTCAGGTGAGATTGTTGCAGCGATGAAGCTACAAATGAACGTGGACATTACGCGCATATCTTTACCCAGCAAGCACCATTTCAGGCCGAGCAGCTGCGATTTGGCATCCCACTGATCAGAAGCTCAGTGTCCGTTCCAGAAAAGCATTTCTGCAGAACATCTTGTGTCAGATTGATACTCATGCTAGACCACTTTGATGTAAGATGTTAATGTGTTTGTGCAGGAAGCTGTGCGCGTTCTCTCTATGTTGCTTATCTTCATTGACTCAACGCATAAAATATGTGGTTAAAAGCTCCCCTGTGATCATAGTAAAGTCCATAAACACAGAGTCTATGCCTTAGCAAATAATTGCTCAGTTCCTGCTGTCACTTAAAACATATTTAAGGAGAGCCATCGTGGGCTCAGAAAAAAAGTGTCAGTCACACTGTGGTTAGAACTGCCGCCTCACAGGAAGAAAGTTCCTCCTTCAAACATCTGGTTAGCTGAGACCTAATTCTCCCTGTCCATGTGCGGATTATCCCACAACTTCCTCCAACAATCTAACGGCATGCATGTTACGCTAACTGATGGTTCTGAAAAAGGAGAATGGAGAGTAACTACTGAGCCATTAGGGAACTGTCGTTTATCCCTCTGTGGATTTCCACAACTGAAACATAACATACGATGCAAACAAAAAACTCACCATTTTCTGGAACAGGTCCCCGACCACCAGCTCAAAGCCTCTGCATCTCATTTCTGTCTCATTACCAGGGCTGATCTCAGTCTGGTCATAAGCACTCAAACGGGCCTTCAGACCTGAGTAAAAAGTTTGGTGCACGTCTCTGAGCTCAGGCACCTGGTAGAAAACGGTCTGGACCTGCTGGCTGGACAGAACTGGTTGAGAGGTCCCAGCTGAAGCCCGCAGAGCCTTCATGGGCTAGACAGCAAAATTTAAAAAAAATAAAAGTTGTGTTAAATGGCAGCCAGTGTGGGTGAGAAAGAAGAACAATGTGGTGTGCTGAAAAGAGAAATAGGCTGTGGTGAAGTGAGAAGGACATGAATGTGTGAAATGTGCAGTTCACATGTGATACATCTCGCAAAGCTTTATTCAACCATCTCAATGCCTTTGGCACATGCATGCAAACCGCCACTATAACCGGAAGAGCAAAAATGTTACATTTAGTCACTCGGTGATAAGAGTACAGTGGTGAGCTCACAACGTCACAAAACACAGCAGCCATGCTAAAGAATCAACCACACAATTTCATTTACTTTCTCACATCTTTTTTCTTGTCTTTTGTTAAATGAGTCGGAAACTGTAAGAATGGGGAAATGCGTGTAGCTGTTGTTATTAATAGCACTAAAAAGAGAAGGAAAAATAGATTCAGGCACTCATTATTGCACCATCATTTCCTGACTTAATTTTGTTTGATAGCACTTATTGGCACTTGGTTGACCAACACACTCAGAGCAATGGGAAAGTCCAAGGAACTCAGTGAAACTCTGAGAAGGAGAACTGCAGGTTTGCACAAGCTGGGAAGGTCTCTCTGAGACATTTCTGCACGACTGCAGATTCTAAGATCGTAAGTGCAAGTTACTTGGATGCGTCTCCTTTTTCCCAAGAAATGGAAGAAGATCCAAACAGTCAGACAAGAGGAAATTGGTTAGGATGCTCAGCAACAACCCACCAAAGCTCAAGCCTACAATAAACTGGAGACTACTGGAACCAGCCCAGTGTCATTACCGACGCGTAACATACCAATGATTTGTCACATCCCAAGGCGTCCAATGGGAACGCGAAAGATAACCTTCCGCGTTCCCATGGGACGCGGCGAGTTGTGGATGAAATCCAATAGAATGACGCTCCCGGCGGTAACAGACGTTCCAGTCGTGTATTCCAGCCCTAACCCAAACCTTAATCTTAATCCTAACCTTGACCACAACCTTAATGGTGTTAGGTAGTGTCTTCCAAAGCGACATATGCAGACTGAGTCCAAACAGTTCTCATGTTTCCTCCTTTTTCCAAACGCATAACATAGGGTCGTGTCGGGTGGCCAAAAGCGTAACATACCGACGATTTGTCACATAGCATAATATGCTACACGTTGGGAGTGAGAACATGTTACTGTCCACAGTGAAGTGAGTTTTACATCAACGTGGACTGAGAAGGTGTCGACCAAGAAAGAAGACCTTGCTCCAAAACTGAATCCTTTAAGCTCAATTAAAATTTGCAGTAGTCCACATGCGCAAGCCAAATGCCTTCTGGTGAAAAGTTTTGTGGTCAGACCATTTGGCCACAATAACAAGAAGAGTTTTTGGAGGAATAAAGATGAATTGAAACCTGAGAACACTGCACTAACTGTCAAGCATGGTGGTGGTAGTATCATGCCCTGAGGCTGTTTTGCTATCAGTGCTGCTGGAATACCAGCCCAAGATTACCATGACATTCACATTTATGATGAGTGTACAAAAGTTTACAAAAGAAAACAAGCAACGAGACACCGATGAGCGTTAAAAACTGTCTGCATTCTTTCAGCAAAACGATCCCCTTGTTCAGAGCCACGTAAGGCTAAGGTAACTTCTCGCACCTTGTGCTACATGTTTACTTTATACATGGGAGTGGTTTCAATAGTTTTATGAAAAGAAAAAGGGAAGCCTAATCCACAAAGGAGAACAATCTATCTACCACTAAAGAAGGAAGCTGAATAATCAAGACTTTGTTGCATGTGATTGCCGGACATGATCCTGTGTAACATGCTAAAAAAAAGGTAATGTTAACTAACAAAGAACAGGCTTAAATTACTATAGTAAGTGTGGTTACAGTTGAACAACAAAGCAGAAGTGAAACACTAATAGTCTAATAGTTTTTATTGCTGTAAAATAATATTCAGTCCAGCGAACAAGTGATGACAATCTGTCTATGAATAACAAGAACAGAGAGCTAAATATAAGAACTGAGAAATGCAAATTTGTTCTTGTGTCTGTGTGTGTTGATGTTACCATTAACAGGGTGTCCAGCTCTCTGAGGTAAACCTCCTCGCTCTCCAGGATGCCTTTCAGCACCGTGAGCCTCCTCTCCAGCATTTCCTCCTTGCTGCATGTTGTCTGGATCACAGGTGTGCAGAGCATGAGAATACATCACAGCGCCCCCTCAGACTCAAGGTTATTGTCAAAGAGTTTTTACAAAATTTGTGATGCCAACCTCTGAAAAAGAGGCCACAGTTATCATCACCGCAGGACTTACAGGGTGAATCGGAACGTTGGACGTTCCTGTTAAAGGAGTCCCGTCGCTAAAGCAAGCGATGAAGAGCAAATTGAGCTGCAGCCCTTTTCTCATGAATCTCAGACGGGTTGTTGGAGTTTCACAGGTTTGTACAATGTTTTTAATTTGTTTTATGTTTTTGTGTATATGATGCGAGAGCTTCCTGAGATGTAACTGCCCCTCAAACATAAGTCAGATAAACATGGGAACCACACTAAAACTCTTTATGGTACCTTTGTTCTAGATTTTGAAACACAAAGTTAGATTTCTCCTTGTTTGTCTTTCTGGGTGCTACCTGCAGTTGTGTGTTTTTAACCAACATAATAGCCAGAAAGCTCTATGTAGCAAAACTTGAAAACTTGGCTCTGCTTCACTCCGTCTACTTTCTGTTCTGTGTTGGTTGCTTTCAAATTTACTCACGTATAAAATGTGAGAATTATAGTGCTGAAAGGTTTTTATATGTACTTCCCACTAGGCCATTGATCCTTCTCCATTTTCATCATGAAAATACAAGTATTGCAAAACTAAATGCAGTCTAGAAGACAAACTCAAGAAGGTACAAAGAGTGTGCAGTGATACAAAACACTGGAGTCGTGAACTCACAGGGGTGTCAGGGAAGTCCACGCTCTCAGTGTTCAGCGGGGAGAGAAAACAGGACACTGCCTCCTCTGGGAAAACGTCCTCTTCCAAGACATCAGCTTCTTCTGCCACTGCAGCAGACACTGTTCAGTCAGAGGGAGAAAAGCTCACAATCTCTCACATCTACTTCTGTTTTTGTCTTTCTGTCTTTGAAAAAGTATTAATAGCAGAGCTTTTTTTAAATTGTTTTTTCTTCCCCCTTCCAGCAAACAAAACAAGAAAACGGCTGCAACATTCAGGTTAAATCTACTCTCACCTGGTATGTTCTGTGACTCCAGATATTGCACAGCCTCCTGGTAGACATCCATAGCCAAAAAACAAGTCCTCTCTGCGCGCCGGCTGAGTGTCGCGGTGTGCAGCATGTAAACGCACTCAGCTGGTGACACAAAACTTCCTCTTTCTTTTAACTGTGCACAAAAGGAGACTGTAGAGACCCGAGCATAACTTCCTGTGTGCGTGAAATAAGCTCATGAGAGCACGCAACTGACATTTTATACATTCTTACAGTTGCATGTTACTTCCTATCAGCGTAGTGTTTATATGTTGTACTTTAAAAAAACAACAACTGAATATCAGATGAAAGTAGTTGAAGGAAAGTTGCCACACTAGTTTGAAGTAAGTTGAGCCAGAGTTTAGCTTGATCTACTCTCTATATCAGACCAACGAAACACCTTTTTTAAATACATATATGTATTTTGACCTAATTTCTGTTTTCAGCATTGAAAGGAAGGACCTTTTGGATAAAGTAGAACACGTTTTTCACAATATTTTTTCAAAGATTTCTTTGGGGTCAGTTTGTTTTAGTTACGCATTTAGAAGTGTTTTAAACGTGTATCACATATGCTGATAAAGTGTCAGCTCATAAAAACGCGTGTCTGCAGTGGCAAAAGTCTTTCTCTGGTTTAGACTAAGCACTTTTTTGGAAATGGTGGCTGTGGGCCAAACAACTGTGGGTTAGTTCAGTTGGTGGTATTATTAAACCTTAAAGTTTTAGAGGTGTTATAGCAATTCACAAAGGATATTAGATTTAATGCGTCAGGGCAGCATGGTGGTGCAGTGGTTAGCACTGCTGCCTCACAAAAAGAAAGTCCGCGTTCAAACTCCTGGGGGCCTCCTATGTGGAGTTTGAGTGTTCGCCATAGCTTCCTCCCACAGCACAAAGAGGTGTGAAGGTTAAGTTGCTTGGCAGTTTTAACTAGGTCTGTCTCTTTGTGTTTGCCCTGCAGTGGACAGGCATCCTGTCCAGGATCAATCCCACCCTGGAGAGCCGTCCTACCCCACTGAACTTGATAAGTAGAAGTAAATAGATGTTAGGTCACATGATGAAAGAATAACTCCACGTTCTTTCCGCATCTTAGCTACAAGTATACTATACAGAATACTACATTTTCCTTCTTTTTTGAATAGAAAACATGTGTTTGAGAAGATTGATGTTTATGTTTGTTAGGTAACCATTTATCTAATTTCCCAAACATAAAATCGGAAGCACACACTAAAGTCTATGCACATTACAACAGCAAGACTGAAAACTGTGAGGTCTTTGTTAGGACACAGCTGATATAAAAAATAATAGTCAGCTGTTGACAGAGAGAATAAATTACTCAGAGTGCATTACTTTCAGACAAACATTAAAGTGCAAGTGTAAAGACGCACAAGCACCACATCACAACCACATCAAAAGTGCTCACCTGGGCCACAGCCGGTCTCCAGGCGCAAGTCTTGCCCCTAAAATTGAAGCAAACAGCAGGGAAGTATTTTTTTTTTTGTTAAATTGTTTTCATCATTTAATGAGCGATCCATTCAGACAGCAGACGATGAGCAGTCTGAGATGTCTTAAGGAGAAGAAAAAGTGCAATTTCCACAGATTTCTTCTCCCACGTTTTCTGTACCTGTGGAACAATTCTCTGTTAGGTCACGTGCATTATAACCTGTCATTCTGCGACTCTGAGGATTTGGTTGAGCTTGTTCTGCGTCAGCCTCCAAACAGAGAAGCAGGAACAATCACTTTTGAGCTGGTGAATGCAAAGACCCACAGCACCATAACACTGATTGAATGGGAGGAGAAACCTTTTTTGTTTTACAGTTTTAATAAAGCACTTTGTTGATATTCCTATTTCAGTCTTTACTTTGACGCTTGTCTCTCTATACTGTCTTGTTTATTCTCAATGATGTTAAAGTTTCCACTCAGAGCGTATGAGGAAGAAGGTGGAGTGCCAGGCGTAAAGTAACGCAATGAGTGTGTTGAATGTGTCCCTACATAGATCAAGTAAAGCCTGTCATTTTCAGGGGTTTAATGCCTGCATGAAGAGGCAGGCAATACATGATCTGAACTGTGTGCTGACAGATTAATAAATAAGTAAATGTCTACGTTTTAACTCTTTGTCTAATGAGGAATCCTGGCAAAATCTAAAAGTTAGTTTCTAATTCAGCAGAAGCAGGACGTGAATGTTTCAGTCTTCAGATAATAGACTGCACTGTGCAGTAAATTTCTGTTGGCTTTGTGCTTCAGACTCGGCTCCACAGCGACATCTAGTGGTTTGATATACTTAGCGCAACCCATTTACTCCAAGCACAAGCATGGGAACGTTGTTTATTTATTTTTCTATTCTATTCTATTTTCTATTATTATTTTCCTATGACTTGTAGTCAACCGTGACCAAGACAAGACCAAGACCAAGTCGAGACGAGACCTAGGCCGAGACAAAAAAGTCTTTAAACTACAGCCAGATGCTGCTTCGTTTACGGGTGTCAGGCATATTTATGTGTTTTTGCTTTCGCACAGCCCTCCTCACCGCTGTCTACTGTCTCACTCACTGAGAGGACAGCCACACGCTCCACTTGACTTTCGCGTCTCTCACGTTCTCTGTTTTTCACATAATGATATTATCCTATATCCTCGCATGTGATTGGCCACAATATGGAGGGATTGGAGCATAGCTGAGCCACTGTGTGAGAGCTGAGCAGCGAAAGGAAATCAAGTGAGGGTAGAAATGACTGAAAGATTAATAGGCTCTATTTTGAGTTTTGTTCAAAAAAGAATGACTTCATATAGAAAAAAATATATATCACATATACAGTTTTTGTATAATTAATAGCAAGTATTAACAAATTTATCATAAAAAACATTTATCATACTTCTTGGGGAACTTAAAGAAACAGAATAAAACATTTTCCCATCGTAAAGAAAACTCCCTTAAAATATGGACAATAACAAACCTGCTAAATTCCTTCCAGAATCTCTGTGTAAAAGAACAGTACCAAAAAAGATGTGTCACAGTTTCTGGATGATCCCCACAGAAAGTACAATTAGTATTTATGTCCCTTTTAAATTTTACCATGTAGTGACTGGCTGGATAACATTTATGTAGAATTTTAAATGAGACTTCTTTCACCTTATTTACAATCAAATATTTATGGGGGACCATCCAGACTGTCTTCCACTTGATATCTGGAACAAATCGGTTCCAATAAGATATTATATATGGGAGAGAGACGATATCTTCTTGGAATAAACTACGTATTCTCTTATTGCTGTTACCAAGTTCCTGTGAAAAGCAGATTTTTCCTATTGGTGACTCAGCTGGATCAGGGAGAGTGACTGAGGTAGAGATCGAGCTGTCAGTGTTTTTATATAACATTAAAGTCCCTGAGGGTATGGCACCAAGCACCATTGAGAATTCCTGAACACTGATTGGAAAATTATATAGTGCAATAAATGCCATACATACATGTTTTGGTTCGTGCAACTGGTCCGTCCGGTTATTGTCTCCCCAGAAACATTTCCGTTGTCTTTTTTCCTATTTCCGTTATGCTTTGTGTGCTTTTGCAGCGTTTTTCTTTTTGCAAGTGTTTTCTGAAGTTGCAGTCCATTTGGCCTCTCAGGGCCACTGTATAGAACAGTCGCAGACTGACATCGGTCTAAGAGCTCATGTGGAGACCCTAACAATTATTTTCAAAACACTTCACGCCTGTCAGTACTTGAGTTTCTTGAGGCCCTCTAAGGCTGAAACAAAAAGCTTCATTTCCTCATATCAAAACATTTTCCAGCTTTGAATTGCTGAATGTTAGAACATTCAAAGACTTAAACAGTATAAATGTTGAGTGCATGCTATTCCTCAACAGTAGATTATAGCAGCTCAACTTCCGTTCTCTACACTAACCTAAACCCCTTACATATGTCATTTGAACTTTTTGCAAAATTCTGAACACCTTGTTACTCACTGAAACACATTTTGCAAAGTGATGGGCATCTACAGGATTCATAGGAGTTTTCAGAGACACAACCATCTGGTAACACCTTTGACAAGAAACAATGTGAGCAGCTGTGACAAACAGGGTTTTACCATTACTATACACTATTTCTTAAGCCAGTAAGGGAAGTACCAAAAAGTGAAAACCTTAATTTCAGCACATGCTTTGTTAACACGGTGATTTTCACTATATACTCATGTTTTTGTAGATCATTGGAGTGAGTAGCTAGTAGGAGATCCATTTTGTTGCTGCTGTTATAAACGTGTTGCATCCCCTAACTGTCGGTTTTCAGGGATTTAAATGTGTAACAAATACACCCCGATGACCTGATAACTTTGTGTGGTTGTGAGCACAGCTATAACTGCTTTCATGGGTTCGTGGGTTTCCCTGAACTTTCAGAGGTTTTGTGGGTTTAGTTGGAAGCTTTTCTTTGTGCTTTGTGAGAAGTTTACATGTGATTAAAATCTAATGATGAGCTTGTTAAACAGAGTGGTGCTAGATCGGGTATCTTGGTGGAGAACAGTATTGTCTTTACCTGACTGAAACGCACAGCTGAACACAATCTTGGGTCTTTTCTTTACTATATAAAGCAATTATTATGATCTGTCACTATGATATGTGATAAATAAAATTAAAATAAGCTGAATCCAACTTAGAAGTCAAGGGTGAGTTGTCAAAACTTGAAGAGGTGAGTGTTCATGATCCAAAATGCACACTCATTGGAAGGTGAGGTTAAACTGAAAATGAACCATTTATTTGGACGATGAGCAAATGAAAAATGCAAGAATGTAAAGGGGATCCGAAAAAACTAACCAAAACCTATACTAGAAAAAAAACATACTAGAAATATTAGAGAGCTGAGAGTGAGGAGACATGAGGGGATGCTAATTAACACAGAGGCAAGGACTCAAATATTCAGACTTGACACAAAGACAGAAAGGTTTCCGTCTTAACCTGAGTAAAAATTATGAATATTTTTTTATTTCAGCAAAAGTTCAGAAAGATTACAATAACTGTGAGCATGTGAAATTACACAGATTTTTCTGGCCAGAGTAAACAAACGTTCTCAATTTAAATTTTATACCCAACATGCTGCCAAAGCTAAAAAAAAATCTTGATTCTACATATTGCACTGAACCACACGAGCACAGGAACTTAGAAATTCTTGTTGTGGCGATGAAAAAGCAGCTCGTGTGTCAGGCTAAAATCTTTGTTTTTGCCTAATACTGTAGAAGCAGAAATCAACTTTTCATATTTGTGTCATCTCAAAATTATACCAAATAACTGTCATATTCACCCAACAAACAGCCAAAATGGTTACATACTGTCCTCTGACAACTTGAGTGGTGACCATCATTGAGATGGTGAGCTACAGGCCGTTCCTGATCTTCACCTCGCGATGCATCTGGCACCAGAAACACATGTAACAGCAAAATGCTTTACACCAGTCATCGCAGCACGAGCCCTGCAGGATGGAGAAGAGGAAGAGGAGAAGAGTGAGAGACAAGAATGAAACACAATCGCACAATTCATAGCAATGGCCCATCCAACTATTCATGAAAACTAAGTACGCAGATGATCTAAATTTTAATTATAATTGAATAATTAAGAGGCAGGGTCAAGGCGCTAACACGTTAATGCTAATGCGCCTTGCACGGGGCAATCCGCATTAACTCGCTAACGCTGACAGGACTAATATATATATTAGTCCTGTCAGCGTTAGCGAGTTAAAACCGCATTAATGTGGCAAATCTCCGTTAGCGAGTAAGCGAGGACCCATTTATGCTGTCTTGTTCCAGGAGCCCACTTCTTATCAGGGTGTCCTGGTTCCTCAACACCTCACACGGCCTTTGTTATAGGTTATCTCTCCTCAGTTTAGTTTTTAGCTAACAATAATAACCTTGACCCTCCCCCACTCCCAGCCTTACATAGATCCCATAGCGCTCTCTGATGGACTTGCGGAGCAAAGACGACACCACGCAGCATACATCCAGAGTGGGAGGCAGCAACACACCCGTGCTTGTTGGCTGTATCACACTGCATGCAGGGAAAACACCAAAGGGCACAGCAACCTTGACGAAGAAGAAGAATATGCAGAAACACGTTTACTTCACTTTGAATAAGTTGTCCTTTCATTACTGGCTTGTGCATCCTGTGTTTTATATGCTGACTTCAGCCCCAACTTTAGATCCTCAGATACTCAAGACTCTCTGAATAAAAGTCTGTGGAGAGTGTTAATGCAAAAACCACTACTGTTTATAGAGTTTGCTAGATTAACTTACAAGTGCCCATATCACTGAAGCAATCACAGAGGCCAGTGCTCCACTCCCCATGGTTTAGATTAGTGGTGGTGATCGTCACTACCTGGGTGGGCTGCTGGTAGACGGCCATTTCTGGAGGAAAGAGGGTAGAAATGGAGACGCATTGAAGGGTTATAGTGGTTGTTGCTTCTGTGTACGGAGAAATCAAATATGAAAAAGATAACAGCTGGTTTGAGACATTACTGTCCATAGTGTGGATATTTTTACATTTCCTGGTTAGTGTAAATCACTGCAAAAACCTTTGACACTAAAATTATGAGTATATCTTTTAAAACTCGTGAACTCAGTTTATAAACTGCATTCACCTTGATCCAGGGGAACGTCTTGGTGTTCCCCTGGATCAGCTGAAGAAGGTGGGTGGGGAGAGAAAGATCTGGGCATCCTCCATTAGGCTGCTGCCCTGATGACCTGACCCCAGATAAGCAGAAGGCGATGGATGGATGACAAGAAAATCCTAGTGTCACGGTTCTGGGTCATTTTGACCCAGGATTCTGAGTTCTTATGTTTTCGTTTAATTTTGCATTATGGATTGTTTTCTGATTCTCTTGTTGTGCTTTGTTGATTATTATTATAAATCTGTTTCACTTTATTCTGGTTTAGGTTTAGTTCTGTGCTTAGCTTCTTGCCTGTGTGTTCCCTCTGTGTAAAGTCCGATGTTTCTTAGTCTGCTGTCTTTGTGAATTGTTTCCTGTTTTATTTTGAAGGGTTATGTCTTATGTCAGCGTTTCTAGCGTCCGCTCCCCCTGTCTCGTTAGGTCTCATTCCTCCCAGCTGTATTCCCCTCCTGTCTAATTCCTTGATGACTTCCTCAGTGTATTTAAGCCCCATGTTTCTTTGTGTCAGTGTTGTGTCGTACCCTCAGATTGGCCTGTGTGTTTCTGTTCTCAGCGTTCATGGTTCAGTTTAAGTTCTGTTCTGTTTTGTGACTTCGCCTGCAATAAAGCAGTGGACTTTGGATTCCGCCTCCACGAATCTGCATATTGGGTCCTTTATCCTGCCTGCCTGCAGACAGCCTTGACACCTAGATTGAATTGCATTTAACTAACTTGTATCCAAAAATTATATGGAAACATGAAAAGTTTTAGCTAGCTTCCAGCTGTCTCATCGTTGTTTATTTCTTCAGCAGACTTTACATGTGTCTATAGCATCCCTAAAAGGTTGATGTATTTCAGTAACACAGGGGCTAACATGTTTGCCAGGCCCTCTGGGCTGTAACAAGGATCTAGGATTTTTACATCAGGCTACAAGATGTCTGATGTAAAAAACGTTGCCAAACCAAAAATGTTATTATTAACATCACTGGAATATTGTTGTGATGGCCAAACCCGTGGCCACACTCTAAAGTCGGTAACTTTTGTATTTTCATTCTTCATTTGAACATAGTAATACATTTTAGTTGCCAATAACTTCATTGATTGGTTTGGATACATTTGTTCTATTTGTAAGCGCGCACATTTAGTTTACTTATGTATTCATACTACTTAATTTCTTTGCTTTCTGACTAACTTTTGTCTTTTTATTTCTTACCTGCCATCATCCCTGGGAGTTGCTGGACAAAAGATGGTAGCCAGGGTTTGAAACCATTAAATACAAAGGAAGATAATTGGACCACACCACCACTTCCTGCTGAAGGGGGGAATGTGTGTTTTCTTTACTTTAAAAACAAAGTATTTGTATTTAATTAAATATTTGAGTTTAGGGTTTAATGGGGTTTTTGATTTTCTTCTTTAGTGTTTAGTTTATTAACAAACTAGATTGTACTGCATCGTTTGTGATTTATGATTGTGTTTGTTTGTTACCCCTCATGTGTCACAATGGTCTGATCAGCCATTATATATACCCTTGTATGTCATTTCATGTTTAGGTCAATTATGTATGTTTGGGCAGTCATTTGGTTTGTTAAGGTTGCAGTCTTTGCCTGAGTTCAGTTTTGTTTCTTTGACCTCTTTTATGAGCTCAACATTTATTAGTCTTGTAAATATAATTTTTGGGGGTTAAATAAATGGAAACTATATTTTTCTAATAATTCCTGGGCTCCTCCTGTTTTTCAACTCGGTCCATCACAATTGTAATTTGTTGAGCAAAAAATATCTGTGTGCTGGGTGTGGTCTCTGGCCGGCTGCAGAGGAAGGGTGATGCTGCCGCAGGGGCGGGGTGAACAGGGGATGTGAATGTGATTGTGCTCTTTATGTTCACAGTGACAGTGGAGGGGAGGGGAGGGACGTGACAGCGGAGCGGGAGTGTCTGTGTCCCATTGTAAAACAGTAAAACCGAATGTAAAATAAAGAAGTGCTGTCACCACGTCCGTGTATTGTACGTGTGGTCCAATGGTCCAACTTCACACTCATGTTTCCAAAACTACAGACGCAGGCAAAACTTTAAAAACAACAGTTTGTTGCCCTTGTCCCACCTTTTTGAAATGTGATCCTTTTTGCAATTATTACATTTCTTTTTTATTTACTTTCTACTTTTTTAAATTTTTTTATTTAATCTGTCTAGCAGAGTTGACTATGTTGGTTGGTCCATTAAAACCCTGCCAAATCGTCTCTGCCACTGCCAAATAGCTCATCCTGCTATCGACTCTGCTGTTGATCTTCTAGATGCAAGTTTCAGCATTATGTGGAGTGAGCCCTAGTACCTCTCCAAGTTGGAAACCTGCTTCCATTTCATTAGGGACAGATGATTGGAAGCCACTGAACAGGACTTTATGATATAAAGTTATGCTATTTGGCAATTAGATTACGGTGACCCATCATAGCAGGCAGGAATCCCAGCGGTGATACGAATTAGAGCAGGACCCCCAAAGAAAAGAAAAAGAATCTTACTGTGTCAGGAAGTTTTGTTCTTTAGAATACAAAACAGTTTTTGTGCCACAGCATTTCAAAGCGACAGCATGAATAAAAATGTCTTATCATTATTATTAGTAGTATTATCATTATGCATTATTACAATTGGATCTCAACAATCTCTACTCACAACCTTACAAATGCAGCGCCATTTAAGGGGAAACAAACAGGCCTACCAATCGCTTAATATTTATATATAAGCATTGTTACAGAAAAGAATCAACACAATACAAATTTCCTTAGCATTTGTGCCAAATTTATATAGATGTTAATAAAATCTATCTTATTTGAAGCCTCAAAGCAAACCTGTTGATCTCTATTTTACACTATAATCTGCTCCAGAGCAAGTTAGGTCTCCAGTGGTTCCCCTGGTATGAAGTGAATAACTTTTACAATATTCAGACTGCAGATAATACCTCAAGTTTCCTCAGTTGGCCCAAATTCTGGTTCGTAGGTCAGGCCTCGGGTCTTAACATTAAGCAAATCCAATATCAGAAGGCCAAAAACACTTCACATATTAATATTTGCCTCTGTGTAGTGATAACTACGTCAAAAATGCAGAAGCACTGTGTGAAAAATTAAGCACATACCATCACTGTTATTTGAGCAACTTTGACTCTCACATCTTATTGTGCATGAATTTTTGCCCAACCTTTTCATTGAGGTTTGTAGGTGTCTATTTATACACAGGTCTCACCACAGCATTTAGGTCAAGCTCTTTTCTGTTACAGTCATTGTCCTGTTGCACGATAGTTTGTATAGAATGACATTTTTCTCATACCAATTGCACCAACAAAGAAGAACAAAGAAGCCATTGTGCACGAGCGAGTGTCTGCCTTGCACGCGTTACTACAGTTTTACGCTTTCGCGGGGACACTTCAGGTTATTGCATAGAACTGAGATACACTGTGGTAGCCACAGAAACGCTGTTTAAAAATGTATTTGTTTACAACTTGACAAATAAAGTTTGATGAATTAATTATCAACAGGCAATTAAGTAATGTTAATAAGTATTGGTAATGAATACTGACAACTGTTACTGGATTCATTTAATGTTGAAGAAATATTTTAAATCAGAGGATTCTAAGGCATGTTCTGAAGCCTCTGCATTGCCGTCACATTAATCTGCTGTACAGTATAACATTTTTTACTGATTTAAAAAAAAAACAAAAAAACATAATTAGCCTATTAGCCTATTGAGTAAACATAATTTAAAAAAATGTGAACTAATATAGAATGTGTTCATGTTGTTGTTGTTGTGAA